CTACGGAACTGTTCTAGAGATTTTACATTGTCACAGCTACTAACTTAAAGAAATACCCTGACAGTTTTAATCTTTTTGTAAGCATTCTGTATTGGTTTATTTCCACAGAGATGTGGGTGTAGCATATGTATTTTCCCAGTCATTGCCAAGTTGGTTGTGTAGCTCTGAGCTCATTCTTGCTTCTCAGTGAAGAAAGCAGTTTAACAAACTTGTTTGATCTAAAGAATGGGTTTATCTAACATTGAGTACTGTAGTGTGAATAAAACTATAACTTCTGCTCAGTGCCTTGTTTTCAGTACATCAAAAAACAATATGCAGAAATCCTAAATTAATTTTTGAGAGGATTTTTCTTTCCCCTTCTTTCCTTATCAACATCTAATTTTTTCAGTGGGGAGGAGTGAATTGAGGCTTTTCAAGGGATGTGCTTGTCCTTTCAAAATGTATCATTTGTGTCTTGTGTGCAAAAAAGCTACTACTGAGCATGCAGACACAGTATTTAATTTTCCAAAGCACTCAGCCATAAATATTGCAGCGATAAGGTCCAGAATGATTCTTAAATCATGTGAGGCAATAGACCTGGTTTAGAATTTTGTAAATAGGGCACTGCATTGCAGATATTTCCATTTTAGGCTCCTATTCTTTTTCAGCTGGATATGCAAGGAATTTAGAGACTGCTGAATATTAAGGTGATCATTCCTCTTTTTCCAGTAGTTTGACTGATATTTTGCATTCTTGGCAAAATTCCTTCTTCAGCCTAGCTTGGTTCAAAAGAACGATCACACTTTGAAAATACTGGGCAGTGTCTTTTTTTTTTTAATTTTTTCTTTTCAGGCATATCCAGAACATTAGTGAGATCAAAACAGATGTTGGCAAGGCCAGAGCCTGGGTTCGTCTCTCTATGGAAAAGAAGTTGCTCTCTAGGCATCTAAAACAGCTGCTTTCAGATCATGAACTCACAAAGTAAGATGGTTTATGTCGGGCAAAGCTTAAATAAATTAAACCTGTTTAGTTGTTTGACTTCAAAAACTCCGAAGTGCCTATTCTTTCCTCTGCTTAGCAGTGTGCAAAAGGAATAGAACAAACTAGCCTTCCAAGTGTATTTCTGTACCTGTGTATGAGCTATTTGGGAATTATGTTTCAATGCTGGGATTCTTCAGGTACAGAATCAGTTCTGTCAGCGTAGACTGTCTGTGACTTTGAGGTGAAATCTTCAAAAATTACTAGGGATTAAATGAAATGGGGTGTAAGTGCACATGCCACTACTTTGCTGAGTCAAGCTTGTTATCTTGGTGCACTTTCTGTAACTGTGGGATATTTTGTTTTCCTTGGATTGTTTGTGTGTTATCCCAATGCATGATGAAGTGCAGCTTAGGTCCTGGTTGCAGGTCTGTCACGATATGAAGAGTGTAGAGGCACATCCAGATGTGCTTCTGTGGTTCTTGTTAGTGTCACTCAAAGTGACTGTTCCTTAGCTTCTCATGTCTGTCTCCAAATCTGAGACATTCTTGTAACTCCTTTCAGTGCCATGTAAAATAATGTAGATAAAATCAACTTCTGGTGTGGTTTAAGAGAGCAGATGAATGGTGTACATGCAGTACCTTGAAGGTGACTAGGAAAGCTGTGATGATCGGTTCTTGCATCTCATTTTGGGGCAATAAGATCAAGATGAGATCTGGTAATCTTTTGAAATCTTCCATTTAAATCTTTCAGAGCATGAGTGTCCACATCTCTAGATCAAACTGACAGTGTCTCAGCTTTGTTTGTCCTCTCCGACAGAATGATTTTGCATTTATAGCCTGCTTAAGAACACAAGGTGAATTGGTTTTGTAATAGTCAAATATCTGCTATTATGATCCATTTTTTATTATTCTTTTGTAAATAGTTGCACAAATCAAAGTATAGGCCATATTTAATAGTAATTGTTTTAGGACTAACAATTTGAGGTTTATTTAGTATAACTTGTGCAGAAAACAAATGTATTGCTGATAAGGTTGGACATACTAGTTACTGCGTGGAAATTAAAGGCTCTCTTGTATGGGCCCTAGTAATTGTCATTAGCTTTAGTTGAAGACTTTTCTCTGGAGACAGCTTATCCTATGCTGTCTACTCTTCCTTTCCTTTCTTCCCACTCACACTACCTTCCAAGAAATATCTTCCCTCCCCCAAACCCCAACTGCTAATTATTTGAGATTTGCCTTGTATTGAATTATGTTGGACTTTCTGATGAAGCTGTGGCCTTCCAACAGTGAGCAAGGAAGAGCTGAAAGATAGAGTGAGGACAGCTGATAAACCTACTTGTATCTCTAAATTAAGGTTAGGTCTCTCCAGTGAAGTCAACAGTCCACATCAGGTTGAATTTAGCAGTGCTTTTCCCATGCAGAACAAGTGCTGTGAGAAGACTTTCCATACACCACCACACTCCATATCCCTAGCCCCAAAAAAAAAGAAAAAAACCCAACTCTTTTAACACTGGCCAATGTACTGGTCATCTATGACACAGATTCTGATTCTGTAGAACAGAATGAGACAGCAGCAAAAATGTTTAAAATCAAAGTTACAAGCAAAGGAGCAACTTGCAAAGAATTTTGTGTGTAATCTTGTGTGCTCTGTGCTGCATATTTAGATATCCTACTTAAAGGAAGGTGTTCTAGGCAGCGTGGGTTTAAAGTGTGCTCTGTTTTCAGTGGAAGCAGTGCCAAGTTCAGTGAGGTACTAAAAGTAATTGTGCAACTTCTGCCATTTTACACTTAACATGATTGTGTGTTGTTCTTTTTTGGAGCAACTGTTAGATATTTTAACCCATTCTCTTCACTTGGCATTTGCTAAAAAAAATACAAGAAAACTGAAACATGTTTGTTTTCTTTCTAGTCTACAAAGGGACTGAAGTTAGGGAACAGAAGCTTCACTCCCCTGAGACTTTTATGTGCACAAGCAAACTGAGAAATCTTATGCTTTGAAAAGGCAGGACAGCACATACCCTTGTGGACAGGCTGTCTAAATGTGTGGTTCAGATTATTCAAATGAAACATGGACACGGTAACCCGTGAGACTTTTGTGGGTTTGCTACTCTTGTGACTACAGACAGGTTATGTCAGTTTAAGGCTCGGTATCTTTATTTCCATTTAACATTTCCTGTCAATCTCTAGTGTTATGTTTGTTATGTAAGTGAGAATATGTGTATGTGTGTTTAATCATCATTGATTTGTTTTGCAAATTTCTGGCTTGTGAGTCACTTGCTGACTTTTTTGTAATTGATATCTGAAATTGAGGGGAATTGTCAGGATGCCCTCCTGGCAGGAACAACTTACCCGTGGCTGTGTCAGCATTTCTAACATCTAATTCATGCATTTATGATGTTTTGAATATTCCTCTAGAGTCAGTTGGATTTGATGCAACTTGGCATGCTCTTCTTTTATGATTATTCACCAACACTGGTGTTATTTATTGGTTGCATAATTAACAAAAACAGTGGTAATTGCTACGTACAAGTGAGAGTGTTTTCCACTCAAAATTTGCACTTGAAAAGGTTGAGGTTGTAAATCCTTTTCAAGGTTTCTCAGTTGCAAGTCTTAAATTCTCTAATGCGTTTGAGTAATCTCAATAAGTATATAAGATTGTTTCCATTTACAGTGCGTTCTTCTGCATAGGCGTTAGTGTCTCCATTAGTGAGAAGGCTACTGAGCTGTATCTTTTGCTATTTCCACTTAAAAGAAGTTGCAGTTCTCTGTTGCAGTCATAGCAAAGAGTTTGCTACCCAGTAAAAAGGAACAGTAGGACTTGAGGCCACCTTTGCATGCTTATGATTTTGGTTATGTCAGGAGCTGTGTACTGAGAACACTGAGGATATTCCCTAGCTTAATGTGCGGGTTGTTGTAGGCCCTGGGTTACCACCTATAACCTGATACAAGCAGATAGACGAGGTGTTTGCCCTAGTGTCCTTTGAAAACAGCCTTCTAACTGTCTTACATCATGTGCTGGAGGACTCTTCCACAGCACCATCTGCTCCAAAGTAACTTACTAGGATTCTCTTTACTTCAGTTCTGTCATTTTACATGGTCAAAAGAAGTCAGAATTTTTTCCAATAAAGTACAAAATTCCTTTTTCCATCTTTTGGGGTGGTTTTGGGTGGGAGAAGACCATTAGACCACCCCAAACCTTGCTTTCGAGGGGTGGGAAATAGTGTGAAGTATCAGACTGATGCACTTGGGAGACTTCAGACTTGCAGAGTGTCGATATATCTTGGCACATTGAATACTGTTGGCTCTACCAGTATCGCTTGTCATTTGTAATCGCTTGCACATTCTTTATAGTTTACCTAATAAATATGCACAATAGAAAACATTTCACTGAAAGCATCTTGTTACTATGACAGACTATTTGTTTTGCTTTGTCAGAAAACTCTACAAGCGTTATGCGTTCCTCCGCTGTGATGATGAGAAAGAACAATTCTTATATCATCTCCTGTCATTCAATGCTGTTGATTACTTTTGCTTTACCAATGTTTTCACAACAATCTGTAAGTATTTGCTTTCCCTGGAACTCTGATTTCCAGATTTGGTTGAGTCCTTAATGTTACTGTTCTGCTTTCTTCCTGGTGCCCATCTGTGTATGTTGTATCACTATTTCTGTGATCCTCTCTGGTGGGCAGTAGTGTCTCTCTTGTTTCTAACTTGGTAAAATACGCAGCTTTAATCCTTTTAGTTGGGGGAGACTTCTCAACAGAAAATTTTGTGGTGGGCTTGTTTGCATCATACTAAACAAGAACAGTATGGATTGTTCATTGTCAAGGTAAGAATATTAACTTAACACATGCTAGGATTTAAAAAGAAAAAAGAACCCTTTCCGTTTTTCATGCTCGGCCTACTTTGCTGCATGCATCTCTCTGAGTTTGGGATGACAATGAAATACCCATTGCATCAGAACTCTGCAACACATTGAAGTACCTTTTTTTTTCTTCTTCTTTTTTTTTTTTTTTTAAATGATACCTTAGAGAAACTTTTAACCTGTTGGTGCTGATGCTTAAACGTGTTACAGAGTTCTGATACATTTGTGGGCCTGCTATCACAGGACCTTACTAGTAAGGTAGAATACGGAAAGACTTTAGCAAGGCTTATAAAATTGGGGGTGGAGTGTATGAAAGGACCCTCTGGCCCCATGGTAGGAGCTACCCTTGATGGTACCTTATGATCCATATTTGTGTGTTTGGAAGACAAAGCAAGCAAATGTCTAAGCAGAATAGTTTTCGGTCTTGTTGTGGGCAAGTTCTGCACAAGGCTAAAATCCGGTCTGCTGGATGCAGTTAAATTGTTGCTTACTTTAAGACTATCAGCACAGAAAATAAAAAGGGAAACGTTTTAATTCATTCTTAAATGCTATGAGCATCAAGCTTTTAAGAAAACCCAACTACCAGATGCTTTCTTGAGGGGACGTTGAGGGAGAAATGTATTAAATGCCTCAGCTGTAAAGCCCTTACTGTAATCCATTTATGCACTGTAAAGGAAGGGCAGATTGTCAAGAAACACAATGACCATTCATATAATTGGATTTTGTTCTGAAAGTTTGGTTAATAGGGGGCTGTGCATGAGATCCTAGGCGATTGAAGAGCAAATGCATTTCCTCAGGAGCACATGCCTCCTGAGTCAGAGAGGGGGCTGTAACTCAGGTGATACTGTGTTGAATTAGTCACTGGTAAACTAGGGGACTAGAAGGCATTTGAGCACCTATGTGGTACCAGTTAGAGGGGGAAAAATTGGTTTGTCCTTTTTAAAATCAAGAAGTCTTACAGTTAGCATAACTAAGAGCAACATGGTACAGAGAACTCGCATCATTATAATGTATTTTCACTGAGTGTGTTCAGCTACATTAATGAATGCTACTGCAAGCAAGCCCTGCAAACAAAGGCTTTGGTTAGTGATTGAATGGGAATTGGTGTTAGTCATGTAGTGTACCTACCTGCACGCAGAAAAGCAGGCAGTTAGGAGTTGAGCATTGAGTTGCATGTGGTGCTACAATGCAGTCCTGGATACAAGAGTATTCATTCTGTCTTTACTTCCTTGTCTCTAAGCTGGGGACAAGTAACCATCTTCATGACGTGTTTTGAGGCTGGTAAATGAAGAATTATTGTACCCATATGAAGGCATTATTCCATCCCTATTTCTTTCTTCATTTGACAGTGTTTTGCTATCAGCTCTGCTTCTTAATGACTGCTATATGTACACTTCCTGATTGTCAATCAGTGCTTAGTGTGCAAGTGTTAGCATGATTAAATAGCAGCTCTGATGTTGTTTTAACGCTTCACGGTACTGCAGTATTATTTTATGTCTTATCTTTTCTCCCTCTCTTCATTAAAGAGGTTACATAATTATCCTTCTTCATTTCTGAAGTGTTATTTCTTCTTGTGTTTGCAGTGATACCATACCATATACTGATTGTTCCTAGCAAGAAACTTGGTGGCTCAATGTTTACAGCCAATCCTTGGATCTGTATCTCAGGAGAACTGGGTGAAACAGGAGTCCTGCAGATTCCCAGGAATATATTAGAAATGACTTTTGAGGTTTGTATTGCTTGATTAAAAAAATGCTTTGGATGTTCTGTTTGTTCAGTTTTAAATTCTTCCCTTGCTGTACCATCTTGCTATACATTTCATATCTTTAGTCTATGCGGTTAGTTGCAAATACTTCCTGTGCCTGTACATAGCAAATTTAATCTATATTTAATAATGTGCAGAGCAAAATGACTGACAAATCCTTGGTGCAAGGATGGACAAGACTTTCTTTATATTACAGCTTTGTGCTTTAATGGTGGGAGGTGTCATACCCTCTTCTACTGGGGGAAAAAAGTGATTCTGCTCTGATTTTTGTGTGCGTGCACACGTTGGGTAAAATTTAATTGAGAAATCTAGTTCAACTGATGTTTTTTCTGCTGACCAAAGTAATATTTAACAAAACAAAGCAAACAAAACCAAATAAAGCAACCTACCTCTAAAAAGCCCAGAATCAGTCATGCAGTTTGAAAAGGAGAACCACACTTCTAATTCCTTGTCTGAGCATCTTATCTAATAACTTACTCCTCTAACATGCTGCTCTAAGTTTACTCTGACAAACTCTTTGTTTAATTTGCAGTGCCAGAACCTGGGAAAACTGACCACCGTGCAAATAGGACATGATAATTCAGGGCTGTATGCCAAGTGGCTAGTGGAATATGTTATGGTCAGAAATGAAATAACAGGGCATACTTACAAGTAAGTATCATCCTGACATTTCATGTTGGGTAAGTAGAATTTCTGCAGGGAGCTGGCACAGTAGAGCTTGTTTGATTAAAAAGGTCTTATCTGCTGGGACTCTGTCTACATTTGCCGCTACCTGAAGACATCGAAAGGTCATTTGGCTTCTGGCATTAAACAAGTCGTGATTCTTAAAAAATTAAACACGGTTTTCAGTTTGCAGATGCTCATGTCTAGCCTCAAAACATTGATGGAGAAGATTAGTTGACTGTTGCACATCTTAAAAATAATCTGCCTTGAGCCCAAGCAGGAAATAGCAAGTTAGAGCTTGCTGCTTACCAAATGTGGGTGGTATTTTTGTATAAAGGCTGAGCGCTCTAGCTGTTACAGAGAGACCTTTGGACACAAGCTGGAACAAAAGGGTTTATAAGTGTTTGAAACCTGTGTTTCCATAGTGAAAATAAAGGAATGAGATTTCTGGTGAGAGTTAGATTTCTGTTAGGTACAGCATAGTTTGATGCCCTGTCCTTTGTTTAGAGAAACTGTCAGGCTAATGTTGCTGACAAATTGGTGGGTAAGTCCACTCAGTTCTCCATGCCAATTTGTTTGTAATTAATGAGAGAAAAGGTTCTATTTTTGGATGCTGTTCAGTTTTCTGATTAAGCTGATTAAACTGACATCAACATTGGTTCATAGAAAGTGATAATGAACAAGTGAGCACATGTGCTTTCTAGTGTCTGATTTAATATCCCAATTTCAATAGCTGTATTGGCGTTTTGGCGTTTAAGTATGTATTTGGGTTTGGTTTTTTTGTGGTTGGCCTCCTATGTAACATACTCAGTGAAAGCATAGGTGTATTTCACCACCCATCTATAGCGCGCAATGGGTTGTCTTCTACCTGTTTTTTTTGCCTCTGCAGCCCTCAAATCGTGTGCCACATATAGGACACGAGACAAAATCTACCGCTGTTTGCAAATCATCTAGTGTCACATTTAGCACAAACTTGGAACTGTAAAGCTGTTTTACTTTTGCTCCCTCTGCTGGCAAAAGCCAAAACCAATACTTTGTTGCTAGATGGATGAAGTATTTCTAATAACTATACTAGCAGAATTTGGAGTTAATGCAACTGCAGTTGAAAGTCTTTGGCATGGAATTGAATCTGGGTTGAAGGAATTGATCCAAATATCTCCTTTGTGTTCATAGGTTTCCCTGTGGAAGGTGGCTTGGAAAAGGAATGGATGATGGCAGCTTGGAGAGGATCCTGGTGGGAGAGCTGCTGACTTCCCACACTGAGGTTGATGAGCGGCAGTGCCGAACCCCTCCTTTGCAGCAGTCACCAAGCATGATCAGAAGATTTGTCACTATATCGCCAAACAATAAGCCAAGTGAGCGGTGGGGGATGTCTTGTCTTGTACTGTTCTGCATCGTTGCCTGAGGAGAGCTGCTTGCAAGCAGAACTGTAGATCTTCTTGTATTTTAGAACTGTAGCTTGGAGAGGACCCGTGAAACTTGCTTAGCCCAACCTCCTGCTCAAAGTCCAGCTAACTTCTGAGTTAAAATTCTGAGCAGCCTGTTCTATCTATCTACTCAAGTTCTGAAAGTCTCCAAGGATGGAAGGAAGATGTCTCTGAACTCCTGGTCTGGTGCTTAGCTGCCCTAGTGGTGTTTTCTGTATTCTTGTCCTTCATCTGTGGAATGAATGCTGTGGAGGAAGGTAGAAATTTGCTGTCCTGTCCCTGTCTGTCCTTCATGAATGAAAAAGCTTGCTAGTAGTTTTTATTCATGGGGTCTAGTTTTCTACTGAGATCACTGTCCTGGGATTGTCTTACTCCTGATAAATTAGGTGGTTACTTTGCTCCCAAGCATACTTGGGTTTACAGTGAAACTATCACAGGAAGTATTTCCAGGATGCCCAGATTTGGTGGTCCTAATCAAAGCATATTACCTTTTCTTTGTTTTGGGCCCTGGTCTGAAAATGCAAATAATGTGTAAAAAGCCTTTCCACCTGTTGGGTTGAAACACCACAGTGTTAACTTCGATTTAAAACCAAACTATCTCCATTTCTACCTCCTCCACAGTAAGTAAAAGCAGAATTAGATTTCTATTACTGTCCAGCACCTTTTCACTAACAGATTAGGTTATACTGGTTCACGCTCCTCTTTTTTTTTTTTTTTTTGTGGTATGCCTTATTCCTCATGCACATGTACAATTTCTAATGCTGTTACAGAGTGACCGGATATATTTTTCTATTTTGCAGAGTTAAATACTGGTCAGATACAAGAAGCTATTGGTGAAGCTGTCAATGGTATTGTCAAGCATTTCCACAAGCCAGAGAAGGAGGTGAGCGGTTGTGTTGCCTGTGTAGTGGCACTCTTGTCTTAAAACTCTTACTAATAAGCCTTGTAGAATATGTAACAGAAATAACTAAACTGAATGAACAACCTTGTGTTTGAAAATTCCTAAATGGAGCAAAAATGAGATACTGAGACTACGCTATTGGAATAGTATATCCTCAGGTACCTCAGTTTTGCTGCTAACTGGAGCATTCTGTTAATTTAAATGTTAACATTCTGTTATTGGAAATTGTATTATTAGTCAAATTCTGCCAAGGATTCTACCTGTACCTCTGTCAAGAGTGTTGCCTCCTGTTTAGTTTGTTCTGAATGACATTTTATATCTACATTGAGTACTGCGTAGGGTTTTTTATGTCTGTTTTCCATTATCTTTGTTACTGAAAACATGAAAACCCATGGACCACTTTAAAAAAAAAAAAACAACCAAAAAACCTACACACACACCCCCTCCCACCAACCCCACACCAAAAAAACCCAAAAGACTCACACCCAAACACCCACACCCACCCTGCTGAAGTGCTCTCAGAGACTCTGGCACACTTTTACCTTACACAGGTAACCATGTTAACTGACACAGCAGTTATTTCCTGAAACAAACTTAAGCCCCATGCCTCTGTGAAAGCATCACAGTCCAGCCCTTATGAGCAGGAGTGGTGCAGAGTAGTGCTGGCTTCTGTATGGATATCTCTTGAAAGTCATTAATTTTTTACATGTAGGTCCTCCTATTCCTTCTGCACTTATCTTTTCTAGAAAATTCAGTATACTGTGGCAAATTCAGATGCAGTATAATTCTGGTTGATGATCACATTTACACAGTAATCTCAAGTGGTCGTACACTGTTTTTGCAAAATAGAATTTATCATCATGTTCTAAAGAAGAATTTGGGTTTTTTTCTGACATTTAAAAATTGCATTAAATATTGTTTTTATTGATAAGCAGTCTGAGACACCTACTGCAATGGACCTGTGATCTTTGTTACTTAGTAAAAGAGGAAAATATTTTCTTAATTTTCTGTACAGTGGTTATTATTATAGGTAAAACGTGCTTAGGAACTTTATCTTGGCCTTTTTGTGGCTCATTTGATGACAACAAGGCCCTGTGACTGCTTTCTTCAGCCTCATTCTTAGAGAGGTTGACAAATTTTTGAATTTGACAGCAGACTGTAACTTTGGGCATCTAGTTATTTAAAAACTGGCTTCAGTAATAGATGCCTGAGACGCTTTTGTGTCCCAGGCTTCCAAACTGAGATAATAAAAGCGTGTGCTTTCTGTGTGTGCTTGGCAGAGAGGCAGTCTGACACTGTTGCTGTGTGGAGAAAGTGGACTTGTTTCAGCTCTTGAACAAGTGTTTCAGCATGGATTTAAATCACCAAGGCTCTTCAAAAACGTCTTTATTTGGGACTTCTTAGGTAAGTGGGAGGAAGACATATCAGAACCTGCTTGTGTCTTTGAAATATATCCATCCATGTGCCTTATCATTGCCACTGTGTCTCAGCTGGTGTGAACAGCATACTTCTTGGAGGCATCTCCTTATATCATCATTTTACTGTAGCATCTCAAAATTTAGTAGATACTAGAACCTCTTTAGCACTGTTCACAGGGAAGGAAGTGGAATCCCTGTTTTATACTTGGGGAACACGAGACTGAAGCATACAGAAAAAAACAATGCCTAGACATAATCATTCAGGAAGTTCATGGGTGAGCTTTAGATCTAGGTCTTTCAACTTTAACAGTCCCCTCCATGGTGCAGAGACTCGTGCTGATTTGCGAATGGTCTGATACAGGCATCAGATAGCCTTACGGATTTGTAAGCATGCTTATGGGGAAAGCATTATACTGAGGTGGTATTAAATTTAATCATCTAAATTTGAAGGTCTTAATGCCTAATTATTTTATTCCAAGCACAGGAGAATGATATTTCAGATATTGTAGGAGTGCTATATGTACTGATGAAACTTCACTATCTCCCACCATTTTTTTAAGAAAAAGCACAAACATACTATGAGACCCTTGAGCAGAATGAAATGGTCCCAGAAGAGAACTGGCAGACAAGGGCCAGGAATTTCTGTCGTTTTATCACTGCTATCAACAACACTCCTAGAAACATTGGGAAGGATGGCAAATTTCAGATGCTGGTGTGTCTTGGAGCCAGGTATAAAGAAACTTCATGATGATGATGATTATTAATTATTGGTATCATTATTAATTATTGTTATTTATTATTTAATCAAATGAAAAAAGATATTGCATATTAGTAAGATAAAGCCACACAACTGCTGGGTTGTGCAGTGTGACTATTACTTATGCAGTTCTTTGATGTAACTAAAGAAGGATCAAGTGAAGCATGCCCTGACTGAGTTCTTGGGCATGTGAAGTGTAGGAGATCTGAGTTACAAACCTGACTATCCCAAAGAGCTGAGCAGCTGAATCAAGAAAGATAGTGGGCTGGTGTGACTAGCCTCCCTCTCATGTACAGCTAGCAAGGGTGGAAGATAGAAACAGAAAACAATCCATTAGTGAGGCCTCTCCAGTTAATGGCTGGGTGAATTCCCCATCCTCCAGCTACTCGTTGTAGGAGGGAAGCTGGGACCACTTAGAAGCCTCTTGACACAAAGGCAATGGAACTGGCTAGTGACTTTGGGGCTGCTTGGGACTTCCAGGCCTCCTGGGAACCATATCTTTTGATGTGAGGGGTGGAAAGCCTAGAAGCATGTGTCTCATGGATGCTCCCTCCTTAAACTAGTTCCACAGGCAGTTATTCCCCCTTCCCTGCCTTATAAAAATATGTGGAGAAGATGGTAGGCCTGTTTAGAAGGCAAAGAATAAAAATCGTGTCGGTGAAAATGAGAAATTAACTTGACTTTATTTTTATTTCCAAATTGCAAATTGCCACTTTGTCAGAGACCACCTTTTGCATCACTGGATCGCCCTGCTTGCAGACTGCCCGATCACAGCACAGATGTATGAAGACATAGCACTGATTAAGGATCATACTCTTGTGAATTCTTTGATTCGAGTGCTGCAGACCTTGCAGGAGTTCAACATTACGCTGGAGGCATCTCTTGTCAAAGGAATCGATATTTGACCTCTTGTCCCACAGGAAAAACTGTCTTTTAAAAAAAAAAAAAAAAAAAGAAAAAGCAACAAGGAGTGAATCTCATTAGTATGCAAAAGTTCTGTCTGCCAGTACATTGTATCGGGAACTTGTTCATGGCCCTAAAATGCAACCTTGGCTTTTCTTGAAGGGAACTCCAAAAATAGTACAGGCAAATGGATAGAAGCTGTAAACTCAATGTAAAAAAGAGGATTTTGGTATAAATCTATTTTAGAGTTTATTTGCTGATTTGCTTTTTACACACTTTCATGTGAAAGAGATAGAGACGAGTATTGTGCAGCTTATTTTAAAGCTGCAGTATTTCCTTGCCATAGAAAATGTGCAGTGAGCCTTTCAGCATTCTGTGAACTTGCCTTCAGATATGCTGTATGTCATAGACCGCGATGTATACACCCCATTTCTGCTGAGAAGGTCATTCTATAGTTTTTAAACTAATATTTTATATATTAACATTATTACCAATATTTGATTTTTAACGTATCGGGTCATGTTCTGCTGCAAGAGAACTACAAATCTGATGTGTGCTTTTTTTTTTAATGGCTCCAAAGCACTAGTTTGTCAACAAATCATTTTTTCCTTTATTTTTGTTGTCAGTATTATTTTTAGTGAAATCCAGGAGACTGAACCATGAAATGTGCAGAGATCAAAGTAATATTTTTCATATTGGTACGTAATTGCACAGAAGAAATTAAGCGTGTTTTTTAACTGATGTTTTTTATTTATTTAACCTATCGTTGTGTTTTGTAAGTTTGTCTTTAAAAAAAAATCTTCTATGATACAACTGGCTATATTACATTGCAATTCAGAATTCACAGTGCAGCCCACTTAAATGAAAAACCTGGAATAATTGTTCATAACACAAAAATGTTTTCACTTGGACCAGCCTTTTGAAGTTTGGTATACGGTTGCTGCTGGTAATTCTCTTAACTGCTAATAAAGAGGGACATGAGCTCCCCAAATGCCAGATGACTAAATAAAGATGTTTATGCCCCCATGAAATAATAATGGTATGCCTTACTAACAAATATAAGGATTTCTTAATTTTTCTGAAGACAGTGAGTAGTAAGGTTTTTTTCTTTTCCTTTTGAATGAATACATCTTGGGTCCTGTTGTTACAGTCTGTTTCATTTGGGATGCTTTTGTTTTTAGCAGAGAAAGCTTTAGTCCACATCTACAATAAAACACAAACACTTCGAAAGCTTAGTTTATTGGAGATCTGGAACTTGGCAAATGCCTAAAGGCATCTCTGTTCATTTGAATCCTCTGATAAAAATCTCTTTGAAATGAATATGTGACTGAAGAACAGGCTGATTTATCAGCCTCGCAAATTACTGTACAGAAATTCAGGGCTGTGTATTTAAGAGGTCTCCACTGTATAAACTTATCTCAGTATTGTCTCTCTTTTGAGAAGCAAAGTCCAAATTTTTTCAGTTCATACAATGTTGTAGCACCTTTTCTTTACCTACAGTTTAGTCACATCTTGTGATAGTTTTATTTCCATAATTTATAAGTATAGCACATGTATTAATTTTTTGAGTATTTTTACTTTTGTCCTATTTATTTCATTATTAAACTGAAAAGTTCCTTTGTCACTACTTATCAGAGCAAGATTGTTTTTTGATTTCACAGTAGCATTAGGAAGATGCAAGGGCAATGTCCAAGCCACTCCTCATGCTGAGTGGGTGTGATTTCTTTCACGGTCTGGAGCTTACAGGAGCATTTCACAGAAGTATTTTGTGTGTGCAGATTTAGTTTTGTTGGGTTTTTTTCCCATCTTTGGAAGGGAAAAAATAAAACAGATGTACTTTATTCTAAGAATTTCATGTATTCAACTTAATATGTTGGGATAATCTTTATACACTTGCCCCAAAGTGCTTATTTATGTATTAATAATAGCAAAAAAAATAAAAAAAAATTTACAGTGCTTTCAGCTATATTTAAGATCACTTTACTAGACCTGTGGATTTCACGGGGAAGATGTCTACGGAAGAAAGGAAGGTTGGATTAATTATCTTGACCTTAACAGAATAGTTGATCCTGTTAAAACCATATCTCTCGTAGTATTAAGTATGGATTAATTTTATCTTGCATGAGGTAATTATCCCTGAATTAAGGTTTGCGGGGTTTCTTTTTTCTTTACAGAAGTTCAGCTAGTGTGGCATGATACCATTGGTTTAATGGCTGGCTTTGGTGCAGATCTTTGTGGCCTCATTATGACAGTTAGCGATACCTGGGATGGACATAGGCTGGGTTTTGCTGGTTCCCAAGTTTGGGGTTCTTTGGCTAGCACATGAGGATGAAGCTGTCCCTCAGTGACAGCACCCTGTTGTGCTAGCTGTCCCAATGCAAAAGGAAGATGCAGAGGTCACCTTCCCAGCTTCTCAGTTACTTTATTTTCACAGGAAAGACCATTTTGTGATAGACCCTTCCTGCTTCTCTCGCAGGGGGACTATGCTTAATTCCATTAGGATTCAAAGCACTTTTTGGTATGGACTTCTGAGTCTGGAAGGATTTGCTCCACTGAAGAGTAGTAGAAGGTTCTGAAATGCAGCAGGAAAAAAAAAAAAAAATCTGGGTTTTGCTGGATCCAGAGGCCACCAAGGAAGACTGAGATATTTAATATAGCTCTGTGGTAGCCTGTGCTAGGGTTTTGGGTAGAGATTTGGCTGGCATATCTAAGAACAGTTCAGTATGGCTGTAGTAGCAGCCATAATCCCTACCACTCATCAGTGTTTACCACAAACCAACCCACTTCTTTCGTTGATGTAGCATTAGTCCCACAGGATAACATTAAGATCCAGCATTTGCTCCTTCCATGCCATTCTGCTGAATTGGATGACTCTGTGTAAGAACAAATTGTGTAGTCAGCATCTTTTACAATTCAACTAGAGCCTTGTAAAATCCATCCCCCTTTTTAAAACTTGCATTACGCTTTTTGTTCAGAAATGAGCTATAGAATAATCAATTGTAACCTTTTTTCCTGTTACTTTTCTAAAATAATGGAGCGGGTTTGGTAGGTGCAGGTTAATGTGGTTATACTGATTTGTTAGGTGGGATTTTTTTGTAACAGTTAATGGGGAAAAAGTCATGGTTTTTTAACAGCAGACATGCATTCTGTAGAGAGAAATATAATGATAAAAAGTAGTTCATATTGCAGTAAATATGTAGTGCTAAATTGGCCAAACATGTTTACATGATTTGAGGAAAAATCACCTATCAGTTATTTATGCTTCTTTGGTTAATGCTGTCAGAGTTGATACAATGATACTTTATACAAAAAGAAAATGAAAATTAATAAAGATTGGTTTTAAATGTAATGAAGTACTATGATGATAAGTTTATACAAAAAATAGCCTTTACCTGCCATAAACTTAACCTTCTGACATTCTGTAGCTGCAAACATATTCATAAACTGAAGACTATTCCACAATTTTTTCCATTATGTGAAGAGTATTTTTCAAATTGTTCAAATGGGACCTACTAGCCGGATGATCCATATTTTTGATGTGTTTTGAATTCATGAATGCGTTAAGGTTTCTGCAGTGAAACTATTCAGAGTTAACTTTTTCTGTATATTGTCAAATGATTTTTGTCCATAGTGCAAGATACTATAGGATACTTGAAAATACTTGAAGATATTGTACATGTACTTCACATCTTTGTAGCTCTTTATTTTATACCTAGAGATTGGCTGTTAAACTGAGAGAAAGCATCAATACCTTACAAACTATATATTTTACTACTTGGGGAAATCACTGGCTTGTTTTTTTTAAGGGCGGGCGTTGAAGTTTACATTATAATGACAAAACCAGGTACTGTTTTCCTTTTTTATTTTTCCTGTGACATTTCAATCCATTGGACATTCAATGTGAATTTGGATATACAGAACAGTTTTACAGGTGTAGCTCATTTGCTGAATTGCAATAAAATTTGTCTTCTAACATGAGAAATATCATTAATGTGCTACTTTCAAAAGTCTCATAATTTGGCTAATCATCTTTTCTTCTTTGCCTGACTGCAGGTACGTATGCCATCTTAGTGTCTGATTTCAGGAGATGTTTTTTTGTATCTGATCTGTTCAGCTGCCTCCCTCCCAGCACCAGTATAGCCTTCTTGCAAGCAGTTGTCGGTCAGACTGCCATCAGTGGAAGAGATGCCTACTCAGTAATCAGGGAATGGGGAGTACAGCAAGGCAAAGGGACTAATGCAGATCTTGGAAAGTATCTGTGAGTACACACGGACGTATATGCTGCCATTTATATTAGCTTTTTTCCTACCTTAGAAAAACTTTTGATTCCAATAACCAAATTTGGTGGAGGTCTCCAGACTTTATGTTCTGGAAAAAGCAATTAGTCACCTCTATGTGCCATGTACTCAACCTTTCTTTTCATGTGTGAGGATCCATACAAAGAAGCAGGAATTGTTGGAAATGTAACTATCTGATGCTTCAAATGTAAGGTTAAGTGAGGAAATAGCACTGTCTTCCATCTCTGAGACTGACATCTGTGGAACGCATGCGTGCCCAAGCATTATTGCCTATATTGCCTGTTTCCTATGTTTTTTACACCATCTTTGTCCAAGGTAAGATCTAACTTGACAGCTAGTCCCAGAAAAGGAGTTACTGGGTGGAGGGGTTGTACTGGCACAGAGGCAAAAGTGTGGTTCCTTCCCTCCATTCATTCACTTTTTGAATGATTTGAAGTCCATACCGATGTAGTGGAGCCCTGTATATCTTGGTGCATTAGCTATTGCTCTGCTTATCTCACCTGGAAACTGGTTCTGCCTGCCTCACTTTATATTAAATCTAGTTTTTAGATTTGAGTGGAGTAGTACACAAATGTGAGTACAACTCATTTGCGGGTATACTTTTGTAACTTTTCTGCTGCCTATGTCCTGAAAGTATTACATGTCAATTGTAGAAGAAGCAGGGAGACCAGGTCAGTTTTACTCACTTTCATCTCCTGCCTCATCCAAAATGCACTCTCCAGGACACCCCTGCTTGGGTAGGGGGGTTGAACAAGATGACCTCCAACGGTCCCTTCCAACCTCAGTCACTCTGATTCTGCGGTTCCTCCCCCCAAACAATGACAGGAATAGGTAAGAAGGCTGAATGCCACTTCCCCCGTGTTGTACAGTTTCTGCCATTAGTAGCCTGGCTTCTGTGAAAAAGAGCTCATCCTTCAGGTGCACTATTTTTCCTGTGTTTTAGGGAGCTGCCCGCTCTTTTGTCACCTATAGCCAGAGAGACTTGCTTATTCTTCTGACCTGCATGTTAGCAATGGCTAACTTCTGCTTTGACAAATTTCTGTTGGGAAGCTGACAAATACAGAAGGTAATTTTCTCAGCGTGGGAACAGTGGTTCAAGTTAGGACTATTCTGGAGTTGGTGGGGTTTACTTTGGCTTAAACTGTATGAGGTCATCATTGGATGTTTTATGCCATCAGGAAAAATGCAGAA